CACACACACACACACACACACACACACACACACACACACACACACACGCTCACACACATTCACATAGCTTGTGTGCGTGCATGTGCAAGAAAAGAGAAAAAAAAACACACACAGCTAAAAATAGACTTATGAAGTGAGCAGATCTGGAACAAGCCTCATTCATCACAAACTGGTACAAAGTCTCAGAATCTGCACCTCACATAACCCTAGAGGTAGATGAGGACTTTGAGTTGGGGGGAGCACACACACATACACACACACACAGACACACACACACACAAAGAGAAACAGAGAGAAGCTTTTAGTAAAATAAATAAAACAAATAAAATAAAACAACAAAAATAAATAAGTTGACAACACTGAAAATCGTTTTTTACAGCTTTTTGTCTTCTGCGATAGAATAACTTTTTTTTACCTTAATTAGATCTTTCTGACCTGAAGATGCAGAGCTATTAAATATTAGAAAGAAAATTAAAACAGAGTAAATTACAAAGTTTAAAACTTTGCTTTAAAACTATTGAAAAATAATAATGAGTTTCAGTATACACCATGATTAAGTGAAAGAAATAATTAATGATAAAGTTACATCATTTGTTATTGTGCTGTGGTGGCATTGATTCTTGTTGAAGTGTGTCTCTGACAACCATTAATGCTGAACGAGCTGTCATGACACGACAGGAGGGGAGACACGAAGGAAATGACAAAATGCAGAGCAACTGAACTGAAAAAAAAAAAGGCACAGAACTGAAGGAAGCTGTGGAAACCTGAACATCTACCACAACCAGCAAAAAACAGAGAGGCTGAAATGGACACTTGCAAAAACTGAAAATGTCTTTGGGGACACAAAAAAACCCATCTGTGAACTGGAATGGACACTGGACGCCATGAACAAAAAAATAAAACTGAACTGAAAACAAACAAGCAACCATGAACTCTGCTGAAAAGTAAACAAAAAATGATTGACAGATGTACACGCACGGTGAGAAGAATTGTTCACCATGAGCATTTGATAATTAAGAGTTCTTGTTTTGATCGAACAGACTGGCAGGTTTTCAGAGAAGCTGCTGAAA